AAAGAGAGGGAAAGGAGAGGGAAAGATGACAGAAAGATGAGGGAAAGATGAGAGAAAAGACAAGATAAAGCCAAGGGACAAGACAGAGAAAGGTGAGGGAAATGCAAGGGAAAGGAGATGGAAAGGTGAAGGACACGAGAGGGACAAACGAGAGACGGGCAAGGGACAAGATAGGGAAAAGTGAGGGATAATAACTAAAAGATGAGGGAAAGATGAGAGAAAGGCGAGGGATGGTATAGGGAAATGGGAGGGAAAGATAACAGAAAGACGAGGGAAAAGTGAGAGACGTGTGAGGGAAAGGCAAGGGAAAGAAGAAGAAAAGAAGAGGGAAAGGCGAAGGAGCAATAACAGAAAGACTAGGGAAGATGAAGGGAAGATTAGGGACAGTATAGGGAAAAGCAATAGAAAGGCAAGGGAAAGGCAAGGTAATGATAACGGAAAGACAAGGGAAAGGTGAGGCACTGGTTAGGGAAAGGCAAGGGAAAGATAACGGAATGATGAAGGAAAGGAGAAGTATAGAAGAGGGACAGGATAGCAGAAAGACGAAGGACAGGTGAGGGAAAGGCCAGAGAAAGACGAGGAAAAGTAGAGGGACAGGATAGGGAAAGGTGAGGCACAGGCGACTGTTAGGGTTAGCATGAGGGAAAAATGAAAGAATGACAAGGGTAAGATGAGGGAAAGACAAGAAAAAGAGGAGGGAAAGCTGAAAGAGTGGGAGAAGAGTGGGAGAAGAGTGGGAAGAGAGAGGGAAGAGAGAGGGAAGAGAGAGGGAAGAGAGAGAGAAGAAAGAAGAAATAGAATAGAAAGAAGGCAGAGAAAAAGAAGAAGAAAATGCGTCTGCACGTTCACAATAAAAAGTGTGAAAGGAGAGCACAAAAGGAGAGTGCAAAAGGAGAGACAAAGGTCAGAGAAAGGAGAGCGAAAAAGCAGAGAGAGAAAGGCGAAAGGCGAGAGAATAAGCGGAGAGAATGGAGAGAGAACAGAGAGAGAAAGGGAGAAGAGGGTAGACAGAGAAGAGAGAAACAGAAGAGAGAGAAGAAAGAGAACAGAGAAGAAAGAAAAAAGAGAGAAGTAAGGGAGAAGTAAGGGAGAAAAAAGAAGAAATGGAAGAAAGAGGGAGGACAGAAGACAGAAGAGAGAAGAAATAGAATAGAAATAAGGCAGGGAAAGAACAGAAGATAGAAGAAAATGTGTCTGCACATTCACAATAAAGAGTGTGAAATGAGAGCACTAAAGGAGAATACAAAAGGAGAGACAAAGGAGAGAAAAAGGAGAGATAAAGGTCAGCAAAAGGAGGGACAAAAAGCAGAGAGAAAGGCGAAAGGAGAGAGAACAAGTGGTGAGAGAATGGAGAGAGAATCCAGAAAGAAAGGGAGAAGAGGGAAGACAGAGAAGAGAGAAGAAACAGAAGGAAGAAGAGAGAGAAGAGAGAGAGAAAGGAGAAGCAAGGGAGAAAAGAGAAGAAACAGGGAAGAAAGAGGGAAGACAGAAGAGAAAAGAAAGAGAAAAAATGAAAAGAAGAAGAAATACAGAAAGGAGATAGAAAGGAGAAGAGAGCAGAAAGTGAGAAGAATAAAGAGAAGAAAGAAGAGAGACAAAATAAAGAAGAAAGAAGAAGAGAGAAAAAAATAAGAAAGGAAGAAGCAAGGAAGGAGACAGAAAGGAGAGGAAGAAAGAAAGAAGAAAGAGTACTGCAGGTGAGGTCTTATAAGAGAACAGAGTAGAGAGGAGGAATCACCTCAACCTGCTGGCCATCCTTCTTTTGATGCAGCCCAGCATTTGGTTGGCTTTCTGGGCTGCAATAGCACAGTGCCGGCTCATGCCAACCAACATTGCCAAGCCCTTCTCAGGGCTGCCCTCAATCCACCCTCTGCGCAGCCTGTATTTGTGCTTGGGATTGCCCACCCCAGGCGCAGGATCTTGCACTTGACCCTGTTGAACTTCATGAAGAAGTTCCCCTAGTTCCATGGAGATTACCTTGACCTTAAATCAGAAATAAAACACCAAAAGATGGGGATGAATGAGAGGGAACAGCAAGGGAAAGATAATGGAAAGATGGGAAATGGAGGTAAATGCAAGGGACAGAATAGAGAAAGGCGGGGCACATGCAAGGGAAAGACGAGGGAAAGGCGAGAGAAAGATAAGGGAAAGATGAGGCAAAGACAAGAGACGTGAGGGAAAAGCGAGGGAAAGATAATGGAAGACGAGAAAAAGAGGAGGGAAAGCTGAGAGAAAGGGAGAAGAAAGGGAGAAGATAGAAGAGGGAAGACAGAGAAGACAAAAGAAAAACGGAGAAGGAGAGGAAAAGGAGAAGAAAGACAAAAGAGAGAAGAAAGAGAAGAAAGAAAAGAGACGGAGAGCGCAAAAGGAGAGATAAAGGTCAGAGAAAGGAGAGAGAGAAAGCAGAGAGAGAAAGGAGAAATTAGAGAGAAAAAGTGAAGAGAATGGACAGAGAATGGAGAGAGAAAGGGAGAAACGGAGAGAGCTGAGAAGAATGCCTCCCTTGTGAAGGGTATCTTCCACCGAATACACCAAGCTGATTAACTATCTCCCACGACTACAGTTATTAATTTGGGTGGTAGGAGAAGTAGAGAGCAAGGTGTTTTCATGAGTGACAAACCAAATGAAGAAAAAAAAAATAAAAAGGAAAGTCGGGGGAGAGGGGGTAAGGTGTGTAGCCATGTGTGTTCCTTCTCTCTCATGACAAACCCAAATCCTGGACCTAAATTCTAAATTTAAAAGATATCGAACTAAAATCACCACCAGTGGAATACATAAGCACTCGTGTTTCACTCCTGTACATAGCACGTGAGAGAAATATACCAGAATCTCAAATGGAAAACAGTATTTGAAAGTAACCTCCCCAGAACTTCTCCCCTTGGGACCTTCCACAACATGCCTCAAGCTGCAAAAAGCAAATTCACAGTTGGACATATAACACTCTTCCCTGTCCAACCTCCTCGCCCCCCCATCTCCCCCCTCAACCAATCCAGGCTGATTTTCCAAGTGGTCTTTAATATCTAAAAAGCCTTTTATTTAAGGGTGTTTACCTAGCAAATTCACAGCTAGTGAAATGTATGCAAATGAGAGCCTCTCATTACACTTTTGAAATGTCTTTTACCTTCTTTTCTGATAAGTCATGATCCAGCTCCTCCTCAGAATCTTCCTCACTCTGCTGCTGCTGCTCCTGCATGTCCTTCATTTTAATCAGCAGCTCTGCCTTTGGTGCAGATGTGCTGTAGTAAGTAGAATTGGTTGTCAGGGATATGGCAGACGGTGCGCTCTGCTCCTCTTTCCTGGTAAAAAGTCAAAACTTTCATTAACTGCCTTGACATCCTAGTCACTGCAAAGAAAGGACAACCTTTTAGAGCCATCATTTCACCAAGCAAGCAGGGGGTTCAACAGAAAGCCATTACCTCATTAAATAGGATAAATAAAAACTGGTTGTGAAGGAAATTTGAACTCAGCACATGCCCATCAAAAGCTAAAACTGAAGTAGTGGCAGAAGACCTTTCACCATTACAATGAGCGAAATGGACCCAAGATCCCTCAGCTGGAAACAAAATGTAGTTACATTTTTCCAAGTGGTACAAAGACCTCAGTGTCATAGAAAGTATCCCTTCAGACTTCCAAATGTGGCATACTACGACCTAAGTATTTATCTTTCTGATTATGGTATCATATATGAACTTCATGAGAAGGCTACAACTTAATTAGGTAACTCATATCAAGAAAACGAAAGACCCACAGAACATCAACATGGATAGACTTCAATGGAACTTAAATCTTTTCTTTGTTCTCATTCACTTCCAGATGTCTCAAGCCCGCTTCAAGCTGTCCTTTTAAAGTTTCATCATGTAAACAAGGGTAAAATATTTTTCCTTCTTTATCCAGTTACTAGGCCAGACGATCTCGGTAAAGTATCTAATCACTATGAAATGGAGGAAGTTAATTAAGTTCTCACACAAATAGTTTTCAAGGAGACCTTAGAGGAAACTTTTCATATTCTGCAACATTGTTCTCTTTCTGTCATTACGAGTTACTTAGAAGTATTACGCTTGACTGTAATTCTAACAGAAAAGTCTCAGAAAAGCCCCAAACCTCAACAGCAGGAAGATCCTCGCCTTCACCCCCCTAGGAAAACTGATACCCTTTGGACAGCAGCTTACAAGGCCTACTTGTAATACTCACTTCTCCTCTGAAATTTTTGGAGAAGGAACTTTCGGCAGGAGTTTCCTGCGCTGTTGAGCTTCTTCTAGGAGGTGTTCATCTTTAGGGAATATACCAATCATCAGATCCATTGTTGTTTTTATTTTCACATTAGGATCTAGTATGTCTGCAAGAGATTTATCTCTTCCCACAATCTCTCTGGCTAGCTCCTCTGACTTCCAGTCTTCAAAGGTCTTCTCTTTGGCCTTTACATAGCTGACTGCTGGTGTGGCAGCACTGCTGTCCTTCAAGTTGCTCCCAGGTTCTTCAGCTGGTTGAGGGTCAGCTGGTTTGGTTCTGGCTTCTGGCTCCGGCTCTACACCTTGCCTGGTGTAAGCACAGAATCGTGAATAGGATTGCTCAGAAGTGCTAAGTGTTTTAATTTGGTCCTTTTCCAAACCACTAGGTAAAGCAGGAGGCTCCATAGTACTGACAAGACTTTGCCGACTTTCCTTCTCTGCGTTGCTCTCAGAATGAACTATCTTGATAGGAACCATTTTCACTGTAGTATTGTTGTCTATAACCCTTTCAATTCTGGAAAAGAAGGAAAAGTCATAGTTAGAAATGGAATAACCTTATCTTTCAATTCTGAAGAGCCTTACCTTTCAATTCTTACCCGATCTAATCATAAGGGAAGCCCAAATATAAAAAAAAGGTAGATAAGAGATCTAGGTAATGGAATCTGTGTATGTCAAACCCTAAATGTGCATGTTTCCTTTTCTGCCCACGCATGTTATACTGGACTTCTGGTTGTTTCCATGAACACTAAGGTTCAATCTCAGCAGCCAGGACCCAGATTTGAGGGAGTGCCGCTGAACTGCGTTTTACCCCTTTGCGGCCACACATACAGAGGAAAACACGTCTCAAGCTCAAATCTCAGTGCCTCACACAGATCCAACAGTGGCCTCAGCTTTTGGCCTAACATGCAGCTTAGCTGCCTGGGGAGTTTGTGATAGTCCCACATTAATTCCCAACTCTTCCAAGGGAAGTGACAACAGAGCAGATAGAAGCATCCTGCAGGCTAGGCCTTTGCTGAGCTACAAGAATAGCAAGTAAATCACTCCTGGAAAAAATTCAAAACTTAATTATATGATAAAAAAACCCCAAACAACCAAAAAAAACCCTAAAAACAAAACCCCCCTGTATTTGTAAAATTTCACACAAGATACACAAGTTCAATAGATACCACCATAATGTCCTACTTTTCTACTTAAAGAAGAAAAAACAGCCTCTGGAGAGTGTAACACACAATTCTGGATACTGCTTTTAAGGGAAGCTTACAGCACAAATTCTGGACTGTGTAGCACAAACGGCCAACTTGGACGTTCAGACAGGAAAGCTATTCAAAGAGGATTAGATTTTTAAATTGGACAGTAACATGTTAACATTACTGAAACATCTGTATTGTACGTAAACCATATAAGAAACTAAAGTCTGGTTTGGTGGTTCTGAGTTTGCAGAAAGTATAAAATTATTGTCATACTGTGGGTTTGGAAGCTCTACAGCAAGTGAATGAATATTGCCTGCTAGCTGAAGTATCTGGTTTCATCTGGCTGGGTAGCTTGTTGCCTTTCAGATAAGTGACCAAGACATACTATGGCCCTTTTCCTCTAAGAATGGGTGTGTCACTTTTCTTAAAAATAAACTTATACTTTATTGTGCTGTACTTTTCTTTTGTTGGGATAGCAAAATCTGTTTGACTTCATATTTTTCAGAAGTTCTATTGTACACTGAAAGATACATTTGCTTACAAATAAACGTGCAGCTTCCCAATAGGTATTTGCTTTCCCCACATGCTTTGCAGACATGCTTTGATACTGATCCAACATTTGGGGCAGGTTTTCCAGCCCATGTTGAACCCCACCACTCCCATTCGGCTGGATGTTTTCAATCAAGGCATCTGTCATTTTAAAGAGCCCACTCCTGTGTCTGCTGCCCAGCCCCAGCTCCCTGCCTGCAGACAGGGGCTCTCCTCCTGCCTGCAGCCTCTGCCCTGACGCTTTCTTTTGCTTGTTTTTAAGTAAAGCCCACACCTTTTGGACTCCACCAGACTGTAAGGAAGAACACATTTTTGAATTTGAGGGAAATGCATGCATGCATAAGTCTGTGGGGGGCAACTGGAAGAGAAGAAATGAGCTGACCGCAATTCTTTACCTAAAATGCCTGGCATCTGTTCTGAAACACCAAGTACATTCCTTTCAGCCTAGTAAAAGATTTTCCAGATACTTAAGGCATCATCAAGTCAACTGATTGCAGTCAGAGCAAAGACAGTTCAACGCCAGGTGCTTCAGAAATCCTGTTTCTGTAGTTACTATCCTCCTCATTTCTGAAGGTTTTCCACTTGTGGAACTGTGGCATGAAATTTTGTTTTGAAGCAATTCTGCTTGTTGCCACTACAAAGCTTTACTTAACCACGAGCACAGTCACTCCTTGACCTGAGTATAGGTTTACTGCAAATCTATTGATGCACATCTACTGATGCACTCTTTTATTATTGCTAAACAGCCATCTTGGGAAACAGCCGGGTTCTGCACACCACTAGCATTTCCTCACACTGCATTGTTCTACCTAAAACGCTGCAGGAAACCCTACCGCACTCAGTTTATCCTGCTCATCAACCAGACACCTTTCTTAAAGAAAAGTAAATAGTTACACGCTGACATCATCAAACATTAGATGCCCACAGCATGCAAATTGGCATGTCCAAAAGCTCACATGCAAGGAGTCAATAGAAGCAATAAGCCAAATCTAATTAACTGCGTATTAAGATAAGTCTACTGGACATATTTTTCTCATATGAAATAAATGCCATATAAAGGTTCAGAGGTATGGCCCGCATGTCCTGCACGTCTTTCCATTTTTGCCTTACCTGTTTTATTGAGTAATGTAATTATTAGCTGAGGACAATACATTGTGCACAAGCAAGAGCTGTCTGGGCTTAAGAATTTTAAACGGTAACAAAAGATTTGCAGGGTAAGTGTATTATCATTCAGATATGGGCATACAATTAGGTACACCTTAGTGCTCACTTCATTAAAGCTGAGTACAAAGGAAGAACAAACACAATTAGATTTCTATGCAACCTTAGCATCTATTCATAAAGCAATATGTTAAAGAAGTCAAAGAAATACATTAAGGAAGTCATTACTGTCATCTACCTTTGCACAGAGATGCTAGGGTTCACATGATACATAGCACTTTTCACAGTAAATTGTATTACTTCATGTTAAAAACACTGCAGAATGAAATGTCACATTTCTCCTCTGGTTACAAGAGGAAAAACATAGAATCATAGAATGATTTGGGTTGGAAAAGACCTTATGATCATCTAGTTCCAACACCCCTGCCATGGCATGTTCAGGAAAAAAAGTAATTCATGTTTTCTATGTCATAAGGCACACTGGAAAACAGCATAATTGAATCTATTCAGCTACTTACATTACAGTAGAAAAAACTTACTCTAACTACTTTTGCTCAGAGAAGCAACCTCTGTGTTCATTCAGCTTGGAGGCTTTATTTTCATTCTTTAACTATAAATTGTTGTGCCAAAAGATTTATGAAAAGATTCCTGAGCTTCCTGGAAGAGTTTGCTATCTTCTGGGAGAATAACGTTTTACCATACTAGCAGCATATGGCAGACACAGAAATCAATTTCAGTCGTTTTGTCTAATTCTATCTAGCCTGGGAAAGGACTGAATTTCTCCCGCGGAATCTTCAGCCCATCTCAACACAAACAGTGCTGTGGACCCCTCCGCAGACTACCTGGAGTGCCACATTTCATTGAAAAAGAAACATGAAAACAGTCATGATTTGGCAGTGTACCTTATTGCGTGCACTTTAAAACAGATGTTCTCACAAAGGATACAGCTTCCCTTCCCACATCTGCTTTGTCCCTGCAACAACTCGTATTTATATACAGGCTTGGGTAGGGGAAATGATGACAGGGAATCTTCTGATTTCACCCAGACTTATAAAGGCAAATCCATTCGAATCCATCCCTTTCATTTTCTACTGACTACCAGCTGTTAATACCTGATCAGCGTCAACTAAAGAAACCACAGACCAGTTGAAGGACCTTAATGGTACAAATTTCACACAAGTCTTAGGTCTCTTTACGACATGCTGTCATGGCTCATGATTAATAAGCGCAAAGGATGTGCTTTTAGTAAAGAAAATTAACAATCAGCCATTAATAAGGTCTAACTCGGCAAAAAGTGTTAATAAATTAGTAAAGGAGTTACATTTAGTACCTGGCTGGGTTCTCATCCTGTACGGACACAGGAGGTTTATCAGTGAGCTTCTGTGGTGCAAACTGAGGAGAAGGGGACCTTGATGTCTCCATGCCAGGTTTTTGAAGATACCGATACTTCGAAGATAAAACAGACTCGGACTTAAGGTGCGTTTTTTCTTCTAAGTGCTGACAAACATTCTCTGTGGATGACGCTTGCGGGAGCTGCTGTGGATTAGCACTCTTCAATTTTCCATTGAAAGTCGCAGGACTCTGACAGAGAGAGGAGTGACTGGCAAATACTTCGGCGGAGCTGGGGGACGAGGATGGAAAGGGCCGGCTGGGTGCTACCAGCAGAGATTCAGAAGATGTGCTGAGTGACGGAGCAGGATTATCTGGTCGCCTGTATTTATCTCTTTTAGGTGGTGGTGGCCTCTGAGGAGCAGGTCCACGCTTCTTGTTCAGCAGCACTGGCTCTACCCTATGGTTTTCGTCTCCTTTGCCCCGGGACAGAGAGGAGTGGTTCTCGTGCAAGGTCTGTGGCTCGGCACAGGGGAGATGAGGCAGGCTATGATCTTTGCTCTTCTCGTTCACGTTTTCCTGAGGGTATCGGTAATCACTAGGCAACGTCCCAGACCTCCCCCGACTCTCGTGAGGCAGAACCGCAGGCTCTTGCGCATGCAAAGGTCTGACAGATGCTTTCCACTTGACACCTAAATTCTGGTCCAGCTGATCCCTCTTCTCCCTTGGGTTTTCCCTCAAGGCCCCTGTGTCAGCTTGCCTAGAAAGAAGAACATGTCATTAGTGTGCTGCTGATTTATTTCCTTCGGTGCGAGGTCACTGCACCAATCCAGGAAGCTTGAACACCAAGATCACATAGAACGTTTAACACCAACTCCTCTGATCTGTATGGCACAAAAACTTCCTTTCATGTATGGACACACACAGTGTACCTAATCTAACGTGATGAGTCAAAGCATAATGTCAGGCTAAATTAGGGTATGGAGTGCATAGTTAAATGCACAGCACACCTCCAGCACTGATGTGTGTGGCACAGTCAAGCATACAAATGTTGACAGAAACTGTCTTGAGAAGAGGAATTCTAACATTCAAATTTAATTCTCTTTTTGCTTCAGAGTCAAGTAACCAACTGTAGAAAACAAATCTCTTCTGTATGTGCAAAATTAATACTGCAGTATCATTTTAAATGGGAATTGAATACCGTGAACTTTAATTATGAATCTGGAGGTTGAATTCTTGCGTAACTGGTGAAAAATGAAATGAGTGCAAAAGAAATGTTTGCCGAAGCTAAAAAAAAACAGAGATGAAAAATTAATATCTTCAGAAAAAAGCAGAAAAGGAAATTCAGAAAGGATTTTCCAGTCAAGCTTATTTTAAGCTTGAACTTCTTTTGCCCTGTCAGCACAAATGACAAACAATGGCCAGAAAGGCCTTATCTTAGACAAAAATATTTTTGGGCTTACTCCAATTTTACACTCTATATTTCTCTAGCCAGAAAACAGGCTTTCGCAGCTCCAGGCTTGTGCTTTGCCACAAGACATGCAGTTCATTTGTGCTCACCAGATAAATACAAACTGGGAAAGAAACAGAAGGCAGGGGAAAAAAAAAGTACCTCTGGAGCCCTGAGAGGAGACAGGTTTGCTCTCTGCTTAGAGGAGGCTGAAGAGACACTGTGAGCTTAGAAAAGAAGCTGCAACAGAGAAGTAAAAGGTTTCAGAGAACTGCCAATATAATTTATGCTACTGACAGTGCTGGTCTCTGTATTGTGAAATACTAACCCTGTAGACATGCACAGCTTTCTTTTGAGGGAACTGAAACAGGCATCTTTCCCAGCCTATGTGTAAAGCAAGGCTAACTTGAATTTTCAACCTAAACAGGTTATTAATATTACTGAACCAGTTTGAAGAAGAGGTCTATAGGCAGTTAAAATCAGTGTATACGAAAATGAAATCCAAGATAAAGCACATAAAATAAGTAATGGGTTGAAGTCCACTAGAAATTCAAGAAGAAAAAGAAAAAAATTTGGAGCAATTACACTGCATTACACTGCAACAGTTAACTAAATTAAAACAGATCGTTAAGATGAAGTATTGTGGGAAGACAACTGATCAGATGTTGGTTCTACTTTCACATCTGTACAGTCAAATTACTTTCAAAATCATTATTTTTCAGGCCTTGGATCTGTAATGTTTCAGCACTTACAGAAAAAAAGTTCTAAAAAAATCTTAGCATTGTCACTAAACTGCCTGATGTATGGAAATTTTAATAACTGCACTTCACACTGATTTTTACATGTCAGAAATAAAATAGTATTGTACTTTCAAGAGAGATGGCTTTTTCCCAATTTAATTCCTGAACAGTCACATACACAAATAACTCTCTCTCCTGTAAAGTGTTAATTTTTAAAATTCAATTTTAATGGGTAATTTTGTATTTAACATGAATGAAAAGCTGAATATTTTTTAAACTCAGACCTCTTCAAAGTGCTCTTAACTAAGAGCAGTCGGTTCATTCAACTTCAAGCCATCTGACAAATTCAATGTCAATTCTGTTTCACAAAGCAATATTTATTGACTCCTATTTTAACACTAGACAAAGGACAAGTTTTGTTAAGTAAAGTGATGCAGGCCAGAAAGACCAACGCCACTCAGATTTGGTTACATGGCATCTCTAGAGTCAGCTGGTTTTCCTTAGTGAATTCAATGTAAGCAGAACCAGGCCTGTAAATAGTTTCACTTTTAATGGAAATGTTTACCAAATGAAGACTGCAGGCCTTAAGTTTGAAATAGTGTATTTAAATTAGTGGTTTTGACTGTCCAGATAACCCATGTAGAGTTAGTAATCCCTAGTTAGTCCGTGCCAAAAAACTCTTTGGGCCTCTCTATTCTTCACATACATAAGCCATAACAAGAGACAGTGTAATAGCCTCACTTAGGTGCATGGGATAATCAACGGCATGGTGCAAAATGTCACATAGACATAAATTACATGCACTACCTCAGCCAGTTTGCAAAGTATGCATTGAACTTTGCATGCACATCAGGAATGGGTGTGCTGGTGGAAGCAAACAGGACAGAGGATACCACCAATCTGACATGTTTACATATGCAAAGCATGTAACCAAATGTATTTAATATTACCCTGGCTCAGAAGCAATAAACGCTTTAGTAGTCCTGTCATCTTCCAAGATAGAGCAAAAGGAAATAAAGAACCCCAGCACAGAGAAATTTGGAGATGCTATATTTGCAAACGTGGAGATGAAATTCTGATATTACATACGTGCCTTCATACAGCTTCCACAAAATTAATCAAACATTTTGCAGTGCTACAGAACATGGGTCTGAGGCATTCAACACTGAGGCTATTCTGCATTCAGTGTGAGTGGGTCCTCATGCAAAACATGCTTATTATATTATTTTGGAGAGATTTGAGCTTACTGTTCAGAAAGGAGGAAAAGAAAGCAAGCTTCAAGCCCCAGGAGAACACAGTGGCAAGAACCTGCAAAGGTGTTACATTATTATGAATACCAAGAAGTCCACCAAACTACTTTAAATCTGTTGGCGCTTTATGCAATGATATGCCCAAAATACAGCTGTTTCGGAAACGAGGCCCATAGCATTATGCAAGGATAACATATGACTGAAAAGAACTCATTATTTATAATCAAACATCACAAAGTGAAAGAGACAGAGCACTTTAAAATAACCTGAAAACATGACAATTGACTTAATTACCACTTTCATTCTAGATAACGAACCAGTCATCATCAAAACCATTAAATTCTAAGTTATCTTCAAACCCAAAGCTCCCCTATTCCCATGATATAATGCCACAACTGTCCAAATCCAAGAGCCTTCCTGACAGAACGGAATCAAGAAAGCTCACACCACGTTCTCATCCCTGCCATGTGATGACTTGACAGCTTTCACTGTCAGACCACTCACTTAACATGAACTGCAAAGGAAGTGTCATCAACAGACATTGCTGTTGATACAAAGTGGTATTCAGCAAGGGTGAGTCTAGTAGAGGAGGCTAACACGTGCCTCTTCTACTGTGTCTGCTTTTAGTATTTAGGTATAGCAGCCTTTGTATATAAATGGTGAGGGACAAACCCAAAAATGTTTCTAACTGAAATGAAGGAATTGCTTCATCACAAAAACCACTCCTCCACTGGACCCAGGTCTTCCAGAGGAGATCTGTGTGGAGAGACGAGAGGCTGCAC